CTCCCTATGGGGCCACAAACGCCGTGCTGGGTGTGGCGGACGCATGCGCCCCCCCCCACCCCCCACTGGGGCCTTCGGTGGAGCTCCCTTATGGGGCTACGAAGCGTTGCCCTGGGTGGGGGAACCGCATGCGCCCACCCCCACTGAGGCCTTCGGTGGAGCTCCCTATGGGGCCACGAAGCGCCGCCCTGAGTGGGGGAACCGCATGCGCCCACCCCCACTGGGGCCTTCGGTGGAGCTCCCTATGGGGCCACGAAACGCTGCCCTGGGTGAGGGAACCGCATGCGCCCAACCCCACTGGGACCTTCGGTGGAGCTCCCTATGGGGCCACGAAACGCTGCCCTGGGTGGGGGAACCGCATGCGCCCACCCCCATTTGGGCCTTCGGTGGAGCTCCCTATGGGGCCACGAAGCGCTGCCCTGGGTGGGGGAACCGCATGCGCCCCCCCCCTCCCACTGGGACCTTCGGTGGAGCTCCCTGTGGGGCTACGAAACGTGTGAGAGGTGTGCCGAGAGCAGAGGCAAGGAGGGGGAGGGGGGAGGAGGGGGAGGAAGGAGGAAGGAAGGAAGGAGGAACGCGGGGCACCGTCTCTTCAAAACGAGGACCCAACACCACCGGATGGTTTGGAATAGTCCCTGGACTATTGTTGGATTATTTCTTGATTATGTTTGGGGTATTTGTTATTTTTCGTCGAAATCCCCCCGTAGGGGGACAGGCCCGAGACTAGCCTGACGAAGGACCCAACCATGTGCAGTTGTGACTGCCGCAAGCGTGCAGATCAGCTTCGCCCGCGCCCCCCTTATGGGGCCACGAACTGAGTGACGGGTGTGCCGAAAATGCGGCGGCGCCGCCATGCGAGTTCCGCCACTGGGTACCTTAGGCAGCTCCCTATCAGGGGGGCGGCGAAGGTGGTGCTCCTTTGGGGGTCACGAAACGTGTGAGGGGTGCACCAAAATTGGGCGGCGATGCCATGCGAGTTCCGCTGCTGGGACCTTAGCTCCCCAGGGGGCCACGAAACGTGTAGAGGGGTGCACCAACATGGGGCGGGGATGCCATGCGAGTTCGGCCACTGGGACCTTACGTGGAGGTCCCTATGGGGCCACGAAGCGTGTGAGGTGTGTGTGCCAAAATGGGGCGGGGATGCCATGCGAGTTCGGCCACTGGGACCTTAGGTGGAGGTCCCTATGGAAATGTGTGAGGGGTGTGCCAAAATGGGGCGGGGATGCCATGCGAGTTCGGCCACTGGGACCTTAGGTGGAGGTTCCTATGGGGCCACGAAGCGTGTGAGGGGTGTGCCAAAATGGGGCGGGGATGCCATGCGAGTTCGGCCACTGGGACCTTAGGTGGAGGTCCCTATGGGGCCACGAAGCGTGTGAGGGGTGTGCCAAAATGGGGCGGGGATGCCATGCGAGTTCCGCCACTGGCCACGGATGTGCCAAAATGGGGCGGGGATGCCATGCGAGTTCCGCCACTGGGACCTTAGGTGGAGGTCCCTATGGGGCCACGAAACGCTGTACTGGGTGGGTGAAACGCAGGGAGGAGGGAGAGGTGGTGGGACGCTGGCATGGGACCTGGGTCCGTGTTCGTCTCTAAAGCTTCGTGCCTATGCCTCCAGATCTGTAAGAGGAGGGGGGGCACAAGGCGGGTCCGGCCTGGAAGTGGCTCTCGAAGCTGAGAGTGCCTCGCCAGGGCGCCCGCCCCTGGTGCGCAGCCTCCCGTCGGGCCTCGCGCCTCCTCTTCGCCTCTGCCCTGTTGGCAGCAGTGCGGTCCAGCTGAGCAGGGGAGAGAGGCGGGGGGGGCGGCGGCGGCGGCGGAGGAGGCAGAGGAGAGGCAGGAGGGGGAGGGAGAGGAGGGAGGAGGAGGAGGAGGAGGAGGAGGAGGAGGAGGAGGAGGAGGAAGGAGGAAGGAGGAGACGCGCCGCACCGTCTCCTCAAAACGAGGACCCAACGCCACAGGATGGTTGGGAAATAGTGAAGAGATCGTCAGGGGACGATTGTTTGATCATTTGGGGCTACTTGGGGGGTATATATTGGCTATTTTTGGTTTTTCGTCCAAGATCCGCCTGTATGAGGACACCCGACCTAACTGTAGCACGTCTATACAATATGTCCGGCCCAGACGTGGGCTTCTGAGGAGGGCGCGTAACACCACAGTCAGTGCGCCTAGTAAGGACGCGCGCCTTCATCTAGGGTGCCCTTGTGTCCTTGCCTCTGCGGCCCGTCCTCTGCCGTTTTCACTGGTCGCCCGTCGCCCAATAAATCCCGACTTCGGCCTCCAAGGGTCTTGCGTCCTTACTACCCGTGCTTCATTCGGCGTCACCCCAACATACTAATACTATGTGTGCGTCGCCCCCCACAGGGGCGACGCGCGCACCGAGGACTCTTATAGTACATGCGTCGTGGCGGGCGCTTTCCGGCCACACCGCTCGGGAAACAATATGCTACAGGATGGGTATATTGCATGTTCGGGTCGGACGCGTGCCTCCAAGGAGGACGCATAGTTCCCCAATCAGAGCTTGCCTCTGTAGGGGTCCTAGCGGATTCATATGGTTAGGTTAGGTTTGCCGCCGATTTCCGCGGCACGCCCGGGTGCCCAGGGGCCCGGGGGTGCCCGGGTGCCCGGGTGCCCTTGTGCCTGGGTGCCCGGGTGCCCGGGTGCCCGGGTGCCCGGGTGCCCGTGTGCCCGGGTGCTTGGGTGCCCAGGTGCCCGGGTGCCCAGGTGCCCGGTAGCTCCATATAGCTTTATAGCCCTATAGTTTTGTAGCCCTATAGCCCTAAGAGCCCTATAGCCTCATAGCCTTATAGGCCTAAAGCCCTATAGCCCTATAGCCCTATAGCCCTACAGCCCCATAACCCTGTAGCCCAATAGCCCTATAGCCCTATGGCCCTGTAGCCCTATAGCCCCATAGCCTTAAAGCCCTATAGCCTTATAGCCCCATAGCCTCAAAGCCCTAAAACGATTATGATTGGGGTTTTTCTCCGGTGTCATACTGGTATGTTTCTGTGCGTACAATCACTACACGTTTGGACTGCACTGTGCCCTTCTGCGTCCCCTATGCGTCCCCTCTCCCCCACTGCGACTGGCCCGCCGGCCGCGAGATCGAGCTCCGCTACGCAGGGCGGCCGGCGGGAGGCCCCCAGCCTCTCCGCTACCGGGCGACGTGCGGCACCCGCCCGCCCGCGTGCTTTCGGCCATGGCCTGCTACCCCCCATCTTGAACGCCCCCCTCTCCTCGAACAGTGGCGAGGCCTCTTGGCTCGCCGATAGGCCCACCAAAGAGTGTTCTAAGAACCTTTTGCCGTTTGCCCGAAATGTTCTTAGAACATTTCTGGCTCAGACTGTCTTGTTTTAACACATCGGGTTGACGTTCTAAGAACATTGTTTTTGTTATTAGAGCATTTTTGGGTTCTAAGAACATGTCGTGGTAGGAGTATAGGAATGCTGGGACGGTCGGTCCCTGCTCAACTCTTAGAGCCCTGGGTCATCGGGGCTGGGGGTGGTCGGGGGTAGTTTCTGATTCGTGCCTCGGGGGCCCAAACCGGAGTTGCCCTGGACTGGAGTAACCTCGGATGATTCGGGAGTCCAACCACTCCCGAATCATCGGGGCTGGGGGTGGTCAGGGGTAACTCTGGTTCGTGCGTCGGAGGTCCAAGCCCGAGTTCCCCCAGACCTGAGTGATCTTGGATATCTCGGGCGTCCAACCCTCTTGGACGCCCTGGAGTTTGGGACTGGTGTCACAAAGTCGTCGCTTTCCGCGGCAGCATCTTCATCAGCGAGGAGGGGCCCTGGGCGCCCACTCCGGCCTTTTGCTGCGGTCCCCCGCGCCGCCCCGCGCCTCCTGGAGAGCCCGCTCCCCCCCCCCCCCCGCCCTCCCTCCCTCGTCTCCTCTCCCCCTTCTCCCCCCCTCGTCTCCCTCCCTCGCCTCCTCCCCCCCAGCCGTCCGCTCGTCTCCTCCCCCTCTCCCTCGGGGCAACGTCAAGTGGGATGGACGGGCTCAGGGGGGGCCGTTTCGGGCTCGAGGCTGCAGGGCTTTCAGGTTTTTTCTGCAGGCTTCGGACTCGATGCCTGAGACTCTCGAGCGCATTCGTTGGCTCCTGGCGGCCTTCCGGCTTCGGGGTGCTGCTCCGCGGCTGCGCCGCGCCGAGCGCGTTGCCGAGGGGGGGGGGGGGGCCTGCAGCGTCCCCGGCGGCCGCCGGAGAGCCGAGCTGGGAGCCGAGAGCCATGGGGGCAGCGTGGAGAGTTGTGACGCTCCAACCTATTCTAGCCTCCTCCTCCCCCTCCTCCTCTCCTCCCCTCCCCCTCCTCCTCCGCCTCCTCCTCCCCCTCCTCCTCCTCCTCCTCCTCCTCCTCCTCCTCCTCCCCTCCTCCTACTCCTCCTCCTCCTCCTCCTCCTCCTCCTCCTCCTCCTCCTCCTCCTGGACAGAAACCCCAGCAGTGGCACGTCGATTCGTGAATTGTCCGTTTTCGGTTCTCGAGAGGGTTCCGTGGCCGTTATTTTCCAGGCTTGCGCCCGCCAGGTTTGGGCCTCAGGTCGTTTTCACTAAACCACGTTTTACTAAAGGGGGGTCTGTCCATCCCCGATTAGCTTTGATCACCAGAAAGACTCTCGAGCACCAACAAAGTACCGAAACTCGAGGGTTTTCACGCGCCGGGCCCTGGGAGACACTCGTCCGGCACTGTTTCGACACCGTTTTGACATTGTTTCGACACTTGTTCGGGTGCTCGAAATTATTTCTGGGATGCGGTCCTTAAGTACGATGGGGGCAACAGAAGGTAAGAAGGGGATATGTTCCCAGGGCGGGGGTCACGACCCCCAGGAACCTCACCAGATCCCCCGTCGGGACCCCCCTTTGGGACCCCTCCCCCGCCGGGGAAGGGCTCCCTCACGACGACGATTCAAAGGAGGCTGGCGTGCGGCAGCTTGGGTTGGACTTGCCTCGCGTCGAAGAGCCTCTCACACACGCCGACTGGGTCGTCGGACTTTCGGACCCTTGAGGAAGATGTGGATGGGCGGAACTTGCAGAGAAGGAGAGAGAGAGAGAGAGAGAGAGAAAGAAAGAAAGAGAGACAGAGAGAGGTTGGACCACACATACACATACTTAGACAGAGGGAGGGAGAGAGAGAGAGAGAGGGAAACATGAAGAAACACCTTGAGAACGAGAGAGAGAGAGAGAGCGATAGAGAGAGATAGAGAGAGAGAGAGCGAGCGAACGAGAGAGAGAGAGATAAATATCGAGAGAGAGAGAGAGAAATGCAGCAAGTATTATGGCTTGGGCATAAGGATGGGTTGGATTGAGCAGCGCCACCAGGACGAAACTGCCGTTTAAGTGGCCAGCTGGTAAGATGACTCTTTGCATGTATGGTGGGGTACGCCCTCAGGTGGTGACCCTGCTGAGCAGCTCCGTCCTCATCTGGACCGTCGTGCCTCAGGTGACAGGGGGGTCTCATGTTGTTTGTCTCCAGTCGTTATGTTTGACGACGTCACTTGGACTTCTCGGCTTTCTTAGTGTCCTAGTTTGCAGCCGTCGTGGTTGTTCCCGTCGTCCTGGCTGGGGTTTCCTCAGGAGGTTGACTCGGACTACTGCTCGCAGTGGCAGAAGCTCAATTGCGGGTGAGCACTTCAGCTCATCAGACTGGCCCAGCACGGCAAGATTATTATCCGGGGCCCAAACATATGCACGCGCACACGAGCGCACCACTTGCACACCTCGCCTCCCCTCCCACTTCCAGGGAAGATGGCACATCTCGCTTCGAATTGTGCACGTCCGGGAAGGCGTTCCGTCCCCTCCTCCTCCTCCTCCTCCTCCTCTTCTCCCTCGCATTCCTCCTCCTCCTCTTCCTCCTCCTTCTCCTCCTCTCCTCTCTCCTCTCTCCGTCCGCTCCTCCTGCTCCTCCTCCTGCTCCTCCTCCTGCTCCTCCTCCTCCTCCTGCTCTTCCTTCTGCTCCTCCTCCTGCTCCTCCTCCTCCTGCTCCTCCTCTTCTCCTTCGTATTCCTCCTCGAATTCATCTTCCTGATCCTCCTCATCCTACTTAGGATGTAACTCCTGGGAGGTTACATTCAGCATCGGCGCTGGTAGATCCGTGGCCGAAGCCCAGCCTAATCCGTCATCATCCAGTTGAGTCCCTTTCCATTTCCTGCAATCTGCCTTAATCCAGCCTGACCTTGGGCTTAAGTTGGGCTCATCCGACCCAATGGCCTTCTCATCGGACCCAGTAGCCCTCGATCGCTCTGGCGACGATCTTCTCCTGGAAGCTGCCTCCGAATCCTCCTCCTGCTCCTCTCCTCGCCTTCCCCCTTTCTCTTCCCCTCCCTCCTGTGCGCTCCTGCAGGACGATCCTCTCTCATCGTCTTCCGCTCCCACCCCCGCGGGCCTCGCGGGAGGCCCCTCCACCCCCCCCCGCGCCGCCCGGCCAGCATCGGCCCGCGCGCTCGGCCGCAGACGGCGGAGAGGCCACGGGGCCACACGGGCTGGGCCGAAGAGGCGGCAGGGACGGGGCGAGGCACCCTTCAGAGAAGAAAAAAACGCCATAAGCATGAAACTTTTGGCGCTCCTCCGCGCGGCTTTCCTGGATCCGCGCTGGGACCCCTGGCGGCGCCTCTGGCGCCGCCTGGCGCCGCCCTGGCGCTCTGCGCGCCAGGGAGGAGGGGTTGCCCCTCTTCCCCATGAAAAGAAAAGGCCAGGGGGGAGGCCGATGTGACGGGGGCGTTAACCGTCTTATCCTCCGCCTTTTCCTCCTCTGTTTCCTCCTCCTCCTCCTCTTTCCCTTTCTCTCCTCCTCACCATCTTTCTCGTCATCCCCACCGTCCTCGTCCTGCCCTCCTCCTCCCTTCATCTTCCCTCCCCTTCCTTGTTCCTCCCCCTCCCTTCCCATCCGTCCTCGTCCGACGGTCGACATTCTGCCCTCCCAGACACGAATAATCAATGCACCTATTTGCGCTCCCACGTATCATCGGTATGAATGCCCCGAAGTGTCCTCCTCCCGAACTCCTCCCCGTTCTCTTCTTCATCCCCATCCTGGAGACTTCACGCGATAACGAACATGCCAGAGTCAATTCGTCTGCCAACTTTTGAAACTTCTGCAAGCCAGCTCCCGGTCATAACACCTGAGAACTGCAGAGACCAGTGCCCAGAAGTCAAGGGTTGAACTGCGATAGCTCCACAATGCATTAATTGTTTCAGAACAAGACACGGTTCGTCCGAAGCCCTGCCAACACTGAGGCCCCACGCTCCCGCAAGTCGGCATTCTTGAGAGAGGTGACAGGCCTGCCGCGTGGTCAGGGCACCGCACGCTGTGCAAGCAACACCGCTCGAAGGGCCAGCCGCCTGTCGAAGCATGGACCGTGCACGCGTGGAGGGCACTGTAACCGGGCGAGCAGGGACGGCAGCGGACGGCGCTCCCAGGCGCTCCCAGGCGCTCCCTGGCACTCCCAGCACGCTCCCGGCACGCTCCCAGGCGCTCCCAGGCGCTCCCTGGCGCTCCCTGGCGCTCCCGAGCGCTCCCAAGCGCTCCCGGCGCGCTCCCAGGCGCCTCCGAGCGCTCCCGGGCGCTCCCGGCGCGCTCCCAGGCGCTGCCAGGCGCTTCCGAGCGCTCCTTGACTTCCACAAGCGTTCCGAAGCGCGGGGAGGAGGGAGCGGCGGCGGCGGGCGGGGGGGAAGCGGCTCGGGGGGAGCGGCCGGGTGGGCGCGCCCGGCGGCGCTGCAGCCTCGCCGCCGTCGGCCCCGCAGCCGTGGGGCGGGTGGCGTTCCGCGCCGCCAGGGCCGCACCCGCTCTCCGGGTCTGCCTGCCCCCCCCGCCGCCGCTCTTGCACAGCCTCGTGGCCCGCCCGAAGCGCGCCCTGGCCTCCTCCGAAGCTCGGTCCTGACGCGTGGTGGCCCCGGCCCGGATGTCTGCACAGGGACCACCACAGCAAGGGTCTGCGTCATCCCCATCCGTTCTGCTCCCCCTCGTCCTCCTTGGTCGCCTCCCCTCGTCTCTCCCCCTCGTCCTCCTTCCGCTCTTCCTCCGCTCGCTCCGAGGTGACCGTGATGCTGCTGATCTACACAGTGGTCGGCTCCTTGGTGTCGCTCTGGTTCATTTGGAACTTTGCGGGGATCACCTACAACATCCAGAAGTGCGAGGCCTGGGACCCTCGTGGTGCCATTCCCCAAAGTGCCCCGAGCTCTCGCATCTTCGGAGAGCAGAAACAAGTCGGAGAGGAAGGACGGATTGAGGGGAGGAGGACGGGGAGAAGGATGGGCAGGGGAGAGTGGCACCCAGCGGCTGCTTTGTGATTCGGCCCTCCACGCTTCAATGGCTCTGCCCCCTCCTTCCCTCTGGTCTTAGTCCTCCTGCTCCTCCTGATCCTGACTCGCCGCTTCTACACCTCGTTCTCCTCCTCCTCCTCCTCTTCCTCCTCATCATCATCAGCATCATCAGCATCATCATCATCAGCATCATCATCATCAGCATCATCAGCATCATCAGCATCATCATCATCCTCTCACGCTCCACCTCCTCCTCCACCCCGCTTCCTTATGAATGAATACCTCCCCTCTCGTCGCACCCCTGGGCGTGTCGGTAGGGCGGGCCGGGCTCTCCGCTCGAGCGCCTTCCCTGCCACTCGTGATCTTCAAGTTTTTAAGCTTGCAGCAGCGTCGCGGATGAAGGGCGGGCCGTTTTCAAAATGTGATTCGCCGGGCGAGGCGAGGCAGGAGGAGCACCGCCAGAGGCGCCGCGCGGCGTCTCTTTCTGTTCGTTGGTTTGTTTGTTTTGCTCCTTCTCTCTCCTTCTCTCTCTCTCTCTCTTTCTCTCTCTCTCTCTCTCGCTGTCTCTGTGTTGCTGTCGCTCTGTCTGTCAGTCTGTCTGTTTCTCTCTCTCTCTCTCTTTCTCTCTTTTTTTGTTCTCCCTATCCCTGCCTCTCTCTCTCTCTATTTTCTCTCTTTTTCTTCTCCCTCTCCCTCTCCCTCTCCCTCTCTCTCTCTCTGTCTCTCTCTCTCTCTCTCTCCCTCGTAGCGCCGCGCACATTCGTTTCACAAGACTTGCAATCGCTCCACGGATAGCGGGTGTTTTGTCTTTTCAGCTGGCTCTCGCCCCAGCGCCGCGCGCACTCGTCTGAAAAGCTTGCTTTCGTGTCGAGCGAGGAGATCGGTTCCTTTTCAAACTGTGGCTGT